ATTCCATTGGTTTACATGCTCTAATTTAACAATTTCCTTGTTGTTTAGAACTTATACTCTTACAAATCATGCTACAATGAATATCTTTTATATTTATGTATATAACCTTTTGTTTCTGTTTAATAATTTCTTTAGGGTTTGTTCCCATGAGAGGATTTTCTGAACTTCAGGGAGTGAATGATTTTATGGCCATTGAAACATGCTGCTGTTATGTGCTTCAGAAAAGGTTTTGACAACCAGTGGTCCATTAATTTACCTGTTTCCCAAAAGTTTCCTGCCTGAGTGATAGAGTGGTTTTATGTTTTGGATTTGGTTTGTGTTTTTTGATTTTTTATTTTGCTACAAATTAATAAACGAAAAATGGATCCTCAACATAAATTCTGCTTGTTATTTTCTGCTTTCTGCTTTCTGTCTTTCTTGCTTAAATAAAAACAGGCACTCCAGGGACCTAACACAACAAACTGCCACCTAACTCTCAACTACCATGAGACCAACCTAGTAGAATGTGAACTGCAGGAGATTTTGATGGAAAAAAGCGTTATAGTCAGTCATCAAGAACAGGATGATCCCCTGCAGGATCCAACTGTAAAACAGGATTTAGAGATTCAAAGGGGAACCAGAGGCTATGGGTAAAGTAAGATCCTGCTATGAGTAAAGCACTGTCAGGGATGAATGCAGTAACACACAAATTATTTTTCTTGTACAAGTTAAAAAATATGCTTAATGGCCACCATCCTTAAATGCAGCAACATCATCTAAGTCACTCAGTCTTTTGAATTTTGTTCTGGCAGCAACATCAGCTAGTGCTGCCAGAACAAAATACAAAAGACTGAGTGACTTAGCTGAAATTTATTTTCTCACAGTTCTGGATGCCAGAAGTCCAAGATCCCAATGTTGGTGGTGTAGTTTCTGCTGAGGCCCGTTTCCTGGTTTGTGGATGGCCACCCTACTGCAGTGCCCTCATATTGTTGATCCTTAGTCTGTATATGTGCCCCAACCTCCTCTTTTTATAAAGAGACCAAGCACATTGGATTAGCACCCACCACGACGACCTCATTTAACCTTAATTATATCTTTAAAGGGCCCTGTCCCCAAGTAAAGTCACATTTGGAGATAACAGGGACTAGAACGTCCATATATTGTGACAGTGATCCACTTTATACTTTGAATATAGCCCTTGCTGCTTTGCTACTGCAACTAACTTTTTAAATGGACATATGCTTTGCTCTTCTCCTTCCTGATCTCTCCCCTTCCGTAATCTCAAGGGAAACTGGATTACCTTTCTTCCCCTACCTAGACATCCTGGCTGCTGTGAGCTGAGCATCTTTCCTCTTCCACACCCCTCTGCCACGATGTTATGCCTCAGGCCCTGAGAAATGGAGCCTACAGACCATGGACTGAACCTTTAAGTCCAAATAAACTTTTCCTCCTCTAAGATGTTCTTGTCAGGTCTCAGTCATAGCAACAAAAAACTGCATCTAGAAACACACACAATAATGATTATAGAAGTATTGCGCTTAATTGAAAAAAGCAAAACCACTAGAATCAAAATGAATTCCCAATCATTGGATAGTAGAAAAACAAATTATGATAAATTCATACCATGGAATAGCAATAGCAATGAAAATGAATGGGTGACTTTGCAACAGCTTTAGAGGACAACTAGTTGTTCAATGTCACAGGGAAAAAGTATGCCCCAGAAAGCAACATGTAATAGTGCTTTTATATAATTCAAAAACAAAGAGGTTTAAAATACATTTATTCATGTATGCAATATCTTGCATATGTGTGTGGTCAATAAAAGTAACTTAAGCAATAAAACAATAAACACAAATTGACATTATGGCAACACCTGAGGGGGAAATGAGGTGGAGTGATACAAAGGAGCACTGGGGTAGGGGTAGGTGACTGATAACATTTTAGATCTTGGGTTATGTCATGGGTTATAAGTATCTATTGCATTAAAAGGAAAAGGAAGAGGAGGCAGAGACAGGAGGATCACAAGTTCAAAGCCAGCCTCAGCAATTTGGTGAGGTCCTAAAAGCAATTTAGCAAGACCCAGTCCCACAAATAAATAAATAGAGCTGAAGATTTAGCTCAGTGGTTAAGTACCACTGGGCTCAATACCCCACACCAGGAAAATAAATAGATAGATAGATAGATAGATAGATAGATAGATAGATAGATAGATAGATGGAAGGCAGGCTGGAAGAGGAGCAGGGACGGAGAGGTTGAGGACTGACCTGGCTATCATATATCTCCGCTACTTGTTACAACTCTAAAGAATAACCACCAGGCACATGTAATCCTAGCTGCTTGGAGGCTGATGCAAGAGGATCACAAGTTCAAGGCCAACCTAAGCAACTTAGTAAGACCCTGTCAGAATAAAATTTAAAAGGCTAAGGATGTAACTCAATAGTAGACTGCTTGCCCAGAATGCCCTAGGTTCAATCCTCAATAGAAAGAGCTGCACTTTTTCTTTGAAGTTAAGCAGAACTATGCAACTTGTTCTAGCCAAGATTTGTGAACAGAAATTACCATTTTAAGGTTGAAGGCTTTGAGAGATGCAGGGCATCGGCCAACATAGTTTGAGACAGGGTCTCACTACATTTCCCAGGTTGTCCTCCAACTGGAACTCCTCTTGATTTAACACTTCCCGACCAGTAGCTGTGACTACAGAAGGTGTGGGCCACCACCTTAAGCTATAAATCTATGATAGCTTTGACAGTGTGACAAGGACACAGAAACTGATTACCATAGAGTTGGGCAGCTGATGACTTTTAGGGAGAAGATTCAGGTTTATAATCTGGAAGGAACATATGGGAAGCTTTTGGGGTGCTGATAGTTCTATTTCTTGAACAGGATGATAATGATACAGATATTTGCCTTGTGGTAATTCATTAAACTCTACGTGTGTGTGTGTGTGTGTGTGTGTGTGTGTGTGTGTGTGTGTGTATACAACAAACCTTTCTTTTTAAAAAATAACAAAGTATAACTAACTCACTAGAGACAGATGCAGGGCTGGAGTGAGGTGGTACTGAAGGAACTTTCTTCCACATGCTTCTCTTGGTGCACGTACATACTGTCAATTTTCTGTCTCAGGTTCATTTTGAATTATTTTGACATGCACTGGCCATTGATGCTGAATCTTAAGTCCATCAAATGCAATATTCTATCAAAACCATCATCTTTCCTTCTTTTCTTTGTTTTTGCAGTGCTGGGGATTGAACCCAGGGCCTTGTGCATGCTTAGGCAAATACTCGAATTCTTTTCTACACCTATCAGCACTCCCTCAACTCCCAATAACTTTCAGCTCGTCACTTCATACAACCTAGTCTCAAACCAGCCCCCTCCTGTAGCCCAGCATAGGTTGTAGTGCAAGTGGAAAGTGCATTTGGCTGCCATTGCTATCTCTGCTATTTTTCTCCTCTGCCCTCAACTTGTCATTGCCAATGTTAAAATAGTCCTTACTGGTCCTACAGTTATCCTCTTAATCCTCCGATTCCTGTTTTCTGCAGCATATGGAAATTCAGTGGTGGAGGAAGTTGAGCTAAAATACAAATAAGACCCAAAGTGGGGAAGAGAAAGACTGGAGAGAGCAAGTGTCCAGCATCCATACAACCCTCCTGGCCACCAGCTATGGGCTCACTGTTGCTCCCAGATGTCTGAATAGCTCAACCCTAAAATCCCAGGCTGACAGTCTATTTATAAGTGAGTGAACATAAGAGAAGACACTAAGATGTTTCAGCTGATGTGCAACAGAAACAAGCCACACTCAAATTGCAGATGCATAAGCAAAAGAAATGGCTGCTGTTGTTTTAAGCCACTTCATTGTGGGATTTAGGGGAGGTGGCATGGGGAACAGATTGCAGAGGAAGTAGGAGGTACAATCAGTGGGACACAGTCACTGACTGGATGCTGATGGTTAGAAGGGATAATACCCCTCAAACAGGTCTACCATTTTCCTAGACTCTTAGGTTCAATCAATCAATTGTAGACTGTTCCATGATGTGTGTACTACTAATGATGGGATGCAAAATGATACTAAAGATGTCAAAATATGAAAAAATACATCCGAGAATTAATAAGAAAAGTACTAAAAGTATATATTTTCTCTGTGTGTGTGTGTGTGTCCAGTTTTTTCTGGGTTTTTTTTAAGTACAAATGAAATATACACAGGAGTCTCCTATTCATTTTCTTCACTGTGCAGCCTGGCATTGGAACTAGTGACTCTGAGGGCCAGTAGGGTCCACCAGGCGACCAGCACGCTGGTTTCATTAGAGGTTTGTAGCATAGAAGTTAACTAGTGAGATCAAAATAAACACACACAGACTCAATTATCTTTTTCTATGACCAGGTCCAAGATGGCTCTCCCCTCTGGCTCTCACCTCAAACCAGCCAGTGGGGCAGCAAGGCTTACTCAGGACTAGCAGGAAAGAGAGAGAGAGCATGCCAGTGAATGGGCTTGCCGGGACTAAAAGTCTTAGGGGTCACTCTAGTTAAACTGGGCTGACTGGGCTGCACGAAATAACCACACAAGAGACACAAATACCTTTTTCTTTGGGGTAGCTGTGAGAGCTCCTCTGACCTTAAGGGTCGGCAGAAAGAGAGAGAGAGTGAGCACATGCAGACCCCTTTTATTGAGGAGAAACTATTCGAATGAGGCAAGGGGTCAGGTTTCAGGGGGCTGAGTATCTTCATGATGTCCACTGTCAGCAGGTTGACTGACACCTGGGTAGGCCACACCCAAGGGCACAGTAAGAGGAGGGGACACACACAAGGCACTTCCATGGAAGATTCTATCCTAAACAGGGCAAGGGGTCATATTACAAAGGAACAGGTGAGCATAGCTTCACCCATGGGGCTGTAGCAAGACACACCCATTTCTGTGACTGATCACCTCAGCACCCAGCTGGGGAGTGTAACTCAGTCAACCGTAAGGTTGGCCTCCCACATGGGCTTTTATTGGGGAACAAGAAATTCAGGGGAAAATTCCATCCAATGAAGGTTGAGGGGGGCCGCACATGCGAGAATGGCTTCCCACATATTCTCCCATTTTTCTCTGAAAAATGAGGCGGTGGTTCACTCTTTCAAATTTCTGCATTCTTGTTCCAAAGTCTCTCCATCCTATAATTACAACACAAAAGAGAATTAACAGCAAGGAGAACAATCCAATAATGTACCAGCCCGAGTGTTAAAGAATATTTCCAGGGTTAAATCCATTTAAATCCTTCAATATTTGGTTAGCCAAAGAAGAAGGATTCGAAAAATCAGCTCTATTATTTTGAATGTCTTGGATATGGTGATGAAGTTCCAGAAGATCCAAGCTATTATTATTATTTTGCCAAATACCTAACAAATGGTTTTTAGCCTTCTCCCAATCCCAGAGAGAAGCATTGTACTTGGCAGCTGTAACACACACATATTTATAATTTGCATGGCATTTAAGCCTTTCTTTAAAATTTAAAGCTGAATGTTCATTACCTATGTCTATAACAGTCACCTCTAAGGCATTTCATTTAGTCTCAATCTTTTCATCAATATTTACTTGATTACGCAGAGCCTTGGAAGTAAATTATTAAGAAATTTTGCATGCTGAATATTTTGAGACAATGTCAGAGACACAGAAACAGTGGAGGCAATGAAAGAGACTAACGCCAAAACACCAACAATTATAATTCCAATAGCACGTTTAGGTCTTGCTAGCTGGGCATGAATTTGCTGCAAGACTTGTAAACCAGTATCAGCATACCATGGCTCTGAAATATTAGCAGGTAATAAAACAAAAGAGGGCTGATGAAGTATCAGCACTCCTTTTCCTTCATTATACCTAGTAATACAATTGGTTAGGTTACATTTGTTACATGTGACAACATATCTGTCATCTATCCATTTAACTTTTACATTTCCAATAATTAAAACATAAGGAGATTGGACACAGGCTCGTAAGCCATAGCAAGATCCCTCCTTACAGTACTTGCCAACAAATTTTGGTTAAGGCTTGTCTGTAAAATGTAAGAATTCTGAGGCAGCAATTAAGTGCCAAACATCCTTTTGAATACCACCCTCACTGTAAGTCAAAATATTACTAAAAAATCCTGCAGGTGTCATAGCAGAATTTTTTCGTAATTGTCTCTTATCAATTTTTGGAGACCAGTCTGAAATATACCCACTATATTTAGACACCTTATGTTGTACAGGAAAAGTATTTACACAATCCATCCATCTAGGAAAGGTGCCAATCTCAATTGTAGAACTATTTGGACAGTGGGGTATCCGTGGAGGTTTTGCAGAAATGACTGGCATGTTATGGGAAAGTCCCATCTTGATTACTGATCTAGTATAAGGTTTTAAGTCTCCATAAATAGAATAATTTGTCAGTTCTAGGTCTACCAATCGCTGTCTTTTCCTCAAATGATACTTTCAGACAGCCAGCATGTTTATCGTGGGACCAACACAAAGGCAATTGGGCACTGTAGCCAGAATAATTACATCTAGTCACATGATTGGGAGTAATGTGAGTATCTTTAAATCCTCCCATCATGAATGAGCCATTAGTAAATACTGGAATAGATTCTCCAGTCCACACAGCTGGGTGTACCAGGGGTGGATCTGGGAAATATGTCCGATAAGTGTCTATCTGATTCCCCTTTACCTGACAGCCCAGCAGGGCAATTACTGTTGCTGCCATCAAGACTGGGGTCCTGTTCTTTCCAAGGAGTCTAAGTATTCGGGAAGCCTGTGTCGTTAGCTTCTTCGCATCTTCCAATGAAATCAGCTTTTCGGCTGGGTCAACCTGGTTTCTCTTCGTCTTTTTCCGATATCTCTTCCTTTTGGATGGAGGCTTCTCCGGGTCGATCTTCAGTCGCTTGAATCTCGGTTCTATCTCTTCCATGTCTGATTGCTCGTTCAGGCACCCAGATAGGATGAAAAGCACCTTCTGAAAAAATACAAGCATGACCTCTGCCCCACATAATCACTGGGTCGGGGCCTTTCCACTGACCAGTCTGTAAATCTTTCCACAAAACTCTGCCTAAAGGGCCTGTTACTGAGGGAGACATTCGCATCTCAGCTGCAGTGTGACCTTCTACGTCACAGTTTAAAAAATTTAAAACCAACAAAGGATGATTGAGGCTATTTTGGGGAGTCATAAACCTATTTCCCCCTTTTAATTTTTGTAATTGAAGCTTAATAGATAAATGAGCGCGTTCCACAATGGCTTGACCTTGGGGGTTATAAGGAATTCCTGTTTTATGATCAATTTTAAACTCTTGGCAAAATTGTTGAAAAGAAGAGCTTACATAAACTGGTGCATTATCTGTTTTAATCTGCATAGGGCACCCTAACACAGAAAAAGCTGCTAGGAAATGAGAAATTACATGTTAAGCATTTTCCTTAGTACGTGCTGTGGCAAAAATAAATCTGGAATATGTGTCCACTATGACATGTACATAACATTTCTTACCAAATTGAGGAATATGAGTTACATCCATTTGCCATATTTGATTTGGTTTTAATCCACAGGGATTTACCCCTGATGGTGGAGATGGAGTGTGAATAACACACTTAGGGCATTGGCTTACAATTTGACAAGCTTGTTCTCTGGTAATATTAAATTTTTTATGTAAGCTAGAAGCATTTTGATGATGCAAGGAATGGGAAGCTTGTGCACAGTCATATGAAGACATTTGTTGACAAAAAGCTACTAATTTATCAATTTTTTCATTATCTGAAACTAAAGGTCCTGGAAGATTAGTGTGAGCCCCCGTATGTGTCCTATGAAACATGGGTATTTTCGCATTAGCACTGCCTTCTGTAAATTATGAAATAATTCAAATAACTCTTGTAATGAAGTATACCCAATAACTAAAGTTTCAATATTTTTGGTAACTCTGACTGCATATAAGCTGTCAGAATAAATATTAATGGCTCATTTGAAAAGTAATTTAAGGCACAAATCAGAGCTTGAAGCTCTGCTCTTTGGGCAGAAGTATATGAAGTTTGCATTACCTCCTTGTGAACACGACTATAAAAACCTGCTTTACCTGAGCTTGAACCATCTGTGAACACCAATAAAGCTTCATATATAGGATGTGCACATACAATCTTTGGAAAAATAAGTTATGTTAATGATGCAAATTGAATAATCTTATCAAGAGGGTAATGGCTATCTATCTGACCAGGAAAATCAGCAAAAGCTATCTGCCATAAGCTAGAAGTTTGAAAAAGCCAATTAATCTGTTGAACAGAAAATGGAATAATTATGATATCAGGCTCAGATCCTGTTGGGGTGCAGCGGAGCGTCAGAGGGGAGAAACCACACAAGAGACTCACTTCATGCAATCGCAGGGGGGAAGTTTATTGAGGATCCTGTTCCAGCGCGCTGGGACTCTGTGCCCACTCAAGAAGGGAGAGCGGCTCAGAGCCCAGAGCAGAGTTCAAGCGGAGCTTAAGTACACTTTTTGGAGAGGGTGGGGGTCTTTGTATACATCAGAACAAATCATCATGAGGCGCAGGAAAATTGAACAACAACCCTGAGTCAGGATTAGTGCATACATTGGCGGGAACAATTAGGGCAGGAGTGATTGGTGCTTCTAGGTGGGGTACACATTCAAACTGATTGGTTTAGGTCCTGCAATGCCTACGTG